GACACCATAAAGGCGCACGATTGGATCTCGCCATCGTGCTGGCGGCCTCCCCAGTGTTCGTTTCATAGTTACATGTGCCAGCAACAATTATCTACTAAAAAAGTTGTCAGTGACTTGTTTACAAGTAAGCTGATTTGACTTTTTTTTTCTGTTTTATGATAAAATGAAGTTTTTAACTAACCGAAGCATATTTTGCAGACTGTATGACAGCACATGTTCTTTTCGACGGTACTCTTTGCTATCGACCACAGACTTATTCCACTGGCATAACGTTCCAGCTTCAGGTTCTCCTGCCACATAAGGGTTCACTGAGGCCTATCATCCTTGGAGCCGGAGGTACATCACATTCTCATATTCTTGTTCCTTGAAGCATCTGCAGTAGGCAAACCGTAATTTTATCGCTTTTCAGGTCGATACGACACGTTGCTGGAAGATGAGCGTCATGCGCAGGATCCCATCCCTCCAAATCCCTTGTGTGCAGTAGGATGCGGTCTCTCACTGGACACTGTGGCTCAGCTTTGCTGTACAAATACTCCAGGTAATTGCATAAAAGGTCCTATCAGTCATTTGGTTGCTTTATAGGATTTGAAGTGGAAAATTAGTTCTGGTATTGTCTCTTTTGCTGATAACATGAGTCTCCTAGTCGTTTTGTTCGGTTAGAATGCATGAAATAAATTGTCGTAGCCAACCTTTTTTACGGATTTTCAAATTTCTAGACTTGCGTTCAAAAGTTAGCCCAGGAAATTGCTGCTAGCAGAGAGCTTTCGCTTGAAAAATTTTTGAGTGCGACATGTAGTTTTCAGATTTCGAATCGATTTGGTGCCGGGCTTTAGTCTGTTCAACTTCGGATCAGTTCCTGAAAACGACAGCCAGATTGGTGCAACGATTGTGGTCACGTGGAATACAGGCTGATGTTCTACACGATCCGGTTTTTCCAGTGCGAATGATTGAGCTTATGGTTAGTATTTTTTAAAAATGTTAAGTTTTTTTTTTCAGTAGCTTGTGGTTGTGTTCTTTTGGGACTGAATTCATATTTTCTTTTTTTTGTGCTACTAAATTATTCTACAATAAGTGGAGAAAAAAACAGTTTTCAGACAAGTCCAGGACAAGAAAAGTAAAAAAAAATAAAAGGGAATATCTTTAAGAAAACTAGCGAAGTTAGATTTTTTTATATTTAAAGGAATTTAGTCAATTACCTTTAAAATGCTGGCGAACATGACCCGATGCTAAATAGCTCCACTGCCATAATGGAGGTCGAAGGCTTGGCTCCGTCACTGGAACAATCCCTGTACAATTCGTTCATTCATTTCTTTGGTAAATTGGTATTGGTCTACGCAATAATCC